ATTTCCGGAGGGGATGAGAAAAGAAGGTTGGAAAGAGCCCGCAGGATTTCCGAATAAACCCGCAGGTTAATAGCAAATATGCTCACAAATATCAAGTGACTTCCTTCACAACATCTACTCTTATTTATAGGCATAGTAGGAGAATGCCAACAGTCACTTCATAATTGCTTTCTCTTAAAACAAACAGCCCAAAGCTAAAACCGAAGAGTCATTCACGGGAGCCAAGAAATTCATGGAAACAAGGGGCCACAATTTCGGAAAAAAAGGGCCCAGGCGTGGAAACAGCAGCTTCCAATTAATATTCTCTATTGAATTCAGCCACCATTAAAGAGCAAGCCACGGAATTCAGCCATAATTAAGAACAGGCCACGATTTTCCAAGAAGAAAGGAGAAGGGGAAGGGACAAGGCCACTCCAAAAGTAAATCTTCTTAATGAGGTACCTTTTTGGAATAAATGAGCTACTAAACTCCAGCTTCAAGCAACTAAAAGAACAAGCTCAACGCCATGTTCTCCAAAACAGCCAACCCGAGAACCATCAGCCAACCCGTGAACCATCAGTGGCCAAGGACCAATCAAGCTAGCAAACCAAAGGTCTACCAAGCCTTATGCACAATCTACCATGATCATTGGATGATTTCCCATCATTGGATAGTTAAAAAAGAAAAGAAAATAAAATAGAAAACAAAATATACTATTGTTCAAATAAGATAAAAAGTACATAAATTCTTGATAACATCAAAATATCTTCTATATTGATTTCTGTATTTTTCAACAGGTCTTAAATATATATTTTAGTATGAAGTAGATACTTCGTGCTAGTAATTTTTCCCACCATTGTAACAACTTCCTCATTTACATGCGACATGGCATTATTGTATGTGCAGGATGTGCCTGATGATAAATGGTTTTGTCCATCCTGTCGTTGCCACATTTGTGGTGAGAGTGAATTTAACCCTGATGCTGAACAATTTACAGATAAAACAATGTTGTATTGTGATCAGTGTGAGCATGAATGTAAGTTTTATGCCAACTCATTTCTTTGAATTTTAACTCACTTATCTTATAGATGTCAATTATGCGTTCTTATCTTCTGCAGACCATGTTGGATGCATGAGAAAAAGAGGATGGAGAAGTTTAAAGTCATGCCCAACTGGAAATTGGTTTTGTAGTCAAAGTTGTTCAAAGGTTCCTTTACTTAATCTTTCCATTATCTTACTTTATTTACTGATGTTTTCTGCCTATAGACTTGAGCAGGAATTTCATGATCTTGTGAAAACTTCAAAACAAGTATTTGATCTAATATTTGCTTGTTTTCTGTTAAAAACCTATTTAGTCTTTGACATGTAAACTACTTATATTCTAAGTTCGTATATAAATCATTAAATTTGCATGATTTCATTATGTGGAGATGTTGTTAGCCTTGCAAGGGTGAAACCTTGAAGCAACGGATTTGTTCGTCACTGTCTTAAAGTCATGAGCTTGAATCTCTGAAACAAGCTTCCTCTGATGCAGGAATAGACTTGCATTTATGGAACCCTCTCAAAACCTCACATGGGGGGAACTTGAGCACTCCTTGCATCCTCTCAGATAAGGATAGCATTACCCAAAATAAAATAAAATAAAATAAACAGTAGATTCTGTTGAAGGAAAATTTTCTTTAATGAATAAATTATTATTCTTATGTTTGGTAAATATTCCCATAAAGCTCATCCATGTGTGTTTTAAGTGTCCTGTAAACAATTGTGTTTCAGCTATTATCTTGTTAATCATCAAGGATTAACCAGGCTATTAGGTAAAGACATACTTAGGGATTTGTCAGGCATTAGCTTCGGAATACTGCATGAGATGTAAATCGTCTTTCATTTTGTTACTTCTTGTTCAAATGGTGTTATCACTTTTACACACATTCCCAATAAATGGCAGTGCATTTTGTTGAATATTTTTAGCTTTTACCTTTGTATGTTATTTCTTTTCACCATATTTGAATCATTTAATCATTACTATATAACTTCTCCAAACATTTTTTCTAACGTATTTCCAATTAAATTCGTTTATGGTCGTTGTTGAATCATTTAGTCTCTTTTAAAATTGTTTTCACTTCATTACATGTGTTTAAAAGGAGTCAAAAAAAATTATGCAAAAAGCTAAATTTTATTCTATATTTGTGTATGATCTATCAATTGTGAATACATACTTAAAAAAATGAGAAGGGCACTTAATTGCTTTCAAAGGTGTATAAGAAGAAAATTACTATTATTTTGTGCTTATTGTAAGGTGATTTAAAGATACAATTTTACTAAATAGCATAGCTTAATTACCTATGCATATGATATGCCAGGGGGCCCACAAGGTGGGGCCCAAAGGAATATATTTAGAAGGTTCCTAATCAAGGGAAGTTGTTTAGGAATGTTTTTTAAATTAAGGGGGAACAGTCTAGGAAGGTTTTCTAATTATTTTATTTATTTATTTATTTATTTTTAGAAGGTTTTCTAATTATGTTCATATTGTTTAGGAATGTTTTCTAAATCATGTTTAATTGTTTAGGAAGGTTTCCTAAATTATGTTTATTCTATTTAAGAAGTATTTAATTGTTTAGAAAGGTTTCCTAAATTATGTTTATACTATTTAAGAAGTATTTAATTGTTTAGGAAGTTTTCTAAGTCATGTTTAATTGTTTAAGAAAATTTCCTAAATTATGTTTATACTATTTAAAAAATATTTAGTTATTTCTGAAGGCTTTTTGAATTATGTTTAATTGTTTAGGAATGTTTCTTAAATCATGTTTAATTGTTTAAGAATGTTCTATTTGTGTTATGGTGGCTAGGGCTATTTAAGGGGGAGTTGTCTTGGATTTAGATCATGCTATTGATGGCTTTTGTGGATGTTTATTGTAGTTTTTTCTTTCAGGGCTTTTTAGCCGCGTCTAGGTTGATTGGGAGAGCCGATTTTAGATCACTTATATATTGTTTTCTCTTATTAAAGTTTTAATAAAAAATTGGCCACCTTTTTGGTTTTACTACAGTTTTTATTGTTATTTGTTATTTTTGCTTCTAATGCGTATCAAGTTGATATTAGAGTGGTGTCTTGACCCGAAATATCAAGCTTTCCTCGCTGATTTATGTTGAGTTTTTCCTTTTCGTTTGCTGAATTTTGCTGTTTGGAGGCCATATTCACATCAAAGTTGCCAATTTTTATTGTTTAAGTCTTGATCCGAGTACTGATGACCGGAAGAAGAGTTGAGTCGTTAGGAAGGGGAAGTAGGGCAACTACGAGCGAATGTGGGATCAATGAATGAACGTATTTCAATGATAGAAAAAAGGTTTATGAATTTGGAAGATATGACGAACAAAATGATCGAGATGCAGTCGAAAGCTTCACTGGAAATTCCTAGGGCTGAACCAAAGGGAAAGAAAATTCTGGAGGAGATAATGAGAAAGCTCATGGAGATGCATTTTAAAACCCCACCGACTGTTCCAATTGCTAACCCTAATCAAGATTTGATTGAGATCCCTTTGGTTGAATCTAAAGAAAGAGATCAGACGGGAAGAGTTTGGAGAATAGAGCTCCTTTCATCAAGAGCCACCTCCTAGAGCTCCGAGAAAGGGTGAATAGGGTTTTCATATGAGGGGATAGTAGGAAGGGAGTTTTGTTGTAGACGTGCTGGAGTAATCAACCACTATGGGAGGCTTTTTGGGCAATGAGTGTGAACGATCGAAGGAGGACCGGCTGAGCCATGGGGATCGGGTCATCTGAAGAGGATGGAAGAAAGGTGGGAGTCCCACCCTCGATACATGGGGGAAACATGGAGGGATCACGACAACCGCTACACTGGACGAGGAAGAAGCTGTTGTGGCGGTGGCAAACCTAGAGTGAAAAAGTTGAAGATGTGAATAATTGAGGAGAAGAGGAATGAGAGTTCAATGAGTGATGCACAAGCTTCTTCTGAGGATAAATAGATCGACAAAGGGAATGATGTGAGGAATGAAGAGGGAAAAAAATAAATTTGCAAAGCCAAGCTGATGGTGCTGAATGGGAAATCTACTGCATCAAATTACCTGGAGAGGCAAAGATTGATGAGGGTAAGCTAGAAAATCAAAACCATGCAGTCTTTACTAGAGGGGATGCTCTTCAGACAATTGATATGAACCAGGATAACTATTTGGAAGAGGCTTTGAAAATGAGGAAGCTTTTGGAGGAATTCAATGAAGGCCATGGATTGCGCCCACCAATTATTCTTGGTACACGTGGGCACATTTTTATAGGAAGTATTTCATCTTTGTGATGATTCATGTCAAACCATGAAACAAGTTTTGTGACAATTGAAGAAAGTGTTCTAGCTACTCCTCTGAAGGTCTTCTTCCAATACAGGCATGTTGATGCATTTGATAAGATTTTTCAGATCATTAGAGGTGACATAAGTAAGGCTTCTCATGGAATCAACCTAAGTGAGGATATCTTTGTTGGATTCAATTCAACATTAAGGCAAGGAAATATCACCCACCATGAGTATATTTAGGTTGTGAAGGGTCATGATGTTGGACTGTGGGCTCCGAAAATTCGGCCCCGGCCTCCGCTCGCTTTTCTTTTTTTTCAGCGAGGGAATTTTAACTGAATAAGTTCCGGGGTAAATTTTGGAAGGCAGATGGGTTTGTAGATAAGACACTACCCAGAGATTTCGCCCTCATTTTGTGAGGACTTTATGATCTGAGTTCTAGTTTCCTATAGGCGCAAGCCCCTATAGTTAATTATCCCTCCCGATCACGAGAGAGAACATTCGATTAAGGCTAGTCGTCAATCAGATACGTAGAAATATGTGTTATCTGGCATATAGTAGCAGCATAGGTTTGGAAATTTGGAGATTTGGGAGATTTGATATTTAAAATTGAAAATTGCACCATCTTACACTTAAAGCGGATGGTGGGGGAATGGGTGATAGACCCGATCAAGATCTCATGGTTCCGTCGTTCCGGGCCATCGTGGTCCCTGGTCTACTTAGTCAAAGGAGGTAGATTCACGGTAAAGTAAGCTGGGTGGACGGAGGCCTGAGTGTTTCGCCGGACTCAACAACTTGGGTTGAAGAGGGTAGCCGTGAGGTTGATCTGAAGGATGGATGTGAGGCTACAGGCGTGAGCTTCCACAGGTGGACGGGTGGAGATGGGTAGGTAGAGGCTGGAATAGTAGAATCGACGAGCTGTTGTGTCGAGGAGCTTCAGTCGAATCAGCGGCAGAGGCCTAGCCGGAGAGAAGCTAAAGGGGACGGGTCGTTGGCTGTAGCAGAGGTGGTCCGGTTGGAGCAGTGAAGAGGGAGGTCGAAGGGTTGCAAAGGAGGTGAGGGATTTCAGCTCTTCGGCATGAAAGCAAGATCAGAGAGCCGAACATACTGCCTCCCCTCTCATTTTAACTCAAGTAAACGACGCTCGAGGCGAAGAGACGCGAAGCAGACGTCCGAGGATATTACGGGATTTCCGGGATTCAAAGCAGGATTTAGTTCAGAGTCTTTGACACAAATAAGGTAAGAGCATTAATTCGGATTTGAGATTTTTGTATGACTTGCTAGTTTAGGTTAAATCCATTGGTAGAGATAATAATAACATGCTATTATAAGCAATGTCATTAATTAAGCTGATAGTAACACGGCTATCAATGAATATGACTTTGATTTTTGTGCATTTCGGCTTGAAATGCATGTAATCACCTCGTGTAGCGTGTCGAATTTGTTGAACATAGACATTAGACAAATTGGTAGTGCATTTAGTGTATTGACGATGTCCCGGTCACAACGAAGCAGTTCGTTTTGCGATCGGACATCGTTTATGTGGCGACGAGGCTTAATTCCCTCGAAGTGCTCGTTGTCTCGATTTTCGCGCAATACCTCATTTGAACAAATTGGCGGTGCATTCATAGTATTGACGGTGTTTCGGACGCAATGGCGCCGTCTGTTTGTCGATCGGACTTCGTTTGAGCATCGTCGAGGCCTCGTTTCCCTTGTAATGCGTGCCTTTGGATCATATGCGAATCGCTTTTGAAATTTACGACGCTACCTTAAATGATCCAATTTAATCAAATAAAATGTATATTCCTAATGTCGACGACGGTCCGGACGCAATGAAGCTGTCCGTTTGTCGATCGGACTTCATGTCGTCTCCGACGAGGCTAATTTCCCTCGTAACACGAGTCTTTGCATCATATTTAGATTGTCTTTAAAATTTGCGACACCATCTCAAATGATCCAATTTGATCAAATAAAATATAGAATCTTAATGGCGACGACATTCCAGACGCAACAGTGTCATCCGTTTGTCGATCCGACGTCATTTGATCAGTGTCATGTTTTAATTTTGGGTGTCGGTCGTCCCTTTTGGCTGATCTCATCCGGTTTGACTGCGAGGGGCCTCGACCTAATAGAATTCAATGTTCGGATCGCAATGCCACTGTCTGTTTGGCAATTAGAGATCGTTTGACCCTTCAAGTGACGTGCATCGCTAAGGCGTGTATCGCTTTATTCATCAGTTTGTGTCCTTTCTCGCGTGGTTTGAGGTATAGGGGTCAACATGGACTCAACTAAATCTCCCTATTTAAAGCAAAGATTTTCTGTAACAATGTATAACAAATACTTAGCAGAGATATCTATCAGTTGGGCCACCAATTTAACTTCTTCCACATGCTTTCTTACTACTTCATGATTGTAGGGTTCTATGCTAGCTCAATGATGGTTGTTATCATAGTCCACATTTTCCTCTATAGTAAGTCTTACCTGTCATTAAGTGGGCTTGAGTTTGCCATTATGAAGCAAGCACTGATGATAGGAAATAATCCTTTGAAGGTTGGTATGGCATCTCAATCTATCATCCATCTTGGTCTATTGATGGCCTTACGTATGGTTATGGAGCTTGGGCTGAAAAGAGGATTCAAAACTACTTTGGGTGACATAATCATCATACAACTTCAATTGTATTTAGTATTCTTTACATTCTTGCTTGGAACAAAATCCCATCACTTTGGACGGACAATCCTACATGGCGGAGCAAAATATAGAGCTACTTGACGAGGATTTGTTGGTCGACGAGAGAAAAAGAGAGGAAATTGAAGAAGGTGGGGTTTTCCAATTGATGTGGAGGGTTGTAGTCACGGGTGTTGGAGTTCATTTGAGCAGGCAACTGCAATATATGGGTGGATGTGGGGTTGTTGTCACGAGAGGGAAAAGAGGGTCTCTTGTGGTTTATGGATGGGAAGATCGAGAAGAGCTAAAACTGGAGAGAGGGTTGTAGATAGTAAGGGATCACAAAAAAGGAAGTATGCGACTAGTGCAGAGGGAAGAGATCGAGAAGGGTAATAGGATAATTTTTTGATAGGTTATTTTTTATTATCTAATAATATTATTATTCTTATTTTAGATTAGGGATGGGACTTCACTTGCATGCGCGATGTGGAGTGGGAAGGGGGTTGGGGTCGAAATTGTCCTGATTTTTTGGTGCTAAATTTCGTTGATCTCTCATATGAATTTCATTTCTCCTATATATTGAAATTGCTCATAATCTTTCACGTGGGCACTTTTTTGAAATCTTCTCATGCAATGACTTGGATAATATGTTTATCCTTAGTATTTTCAACCATATCGTTCAAGGTGCACCTCAAAATGAGGCGCACAATGAGCGCCTCAAGCCTTGAGCCTCGCTAATGTCAGTTAGGATGACGCCTTTTTTAAATGAAGCACACGCCTCGAGGCTTAACACGTCGAGGCGTTTCGAGGTAGAGCCTCATTATTATTAAGTTTTATAATTTTTATTATATATTATTATCAATAATATATATACTTTATTCTATTATATAAAGAGAAGGAACTAATTAGTTATATGATGAATGAACAAGGTTGTTATGTTTAATACAAATTTGAAAGATAAATACTTCAAATTATAGATTCGAATAACTGATGATGATAAAATAAATCTTTTGGTTGCTAATGATATATTTTATAATGATGAATGGATAATAGCAAAAAATAGTAAAATATTTAAAATTAGTTATATGACGAATGAACAAGGTTGTTATGTTTAATAAAAATTTGAAAGATAAATACTTCAAATTATAGATTCGAATAACTGATGATTATAAAATAAATCTTTTGGCTGCTAATGATATATTTTATAATGATGAATGGATAATAGCAAAAAATAGTAAAATATTTAAAATTGAAAATGGAGGATTGCATTTGATGATGATAATAATGAAAATATTAATGCTAATATTAAAATGATTATTGAATTGATAATAACTTATATTTCACAAGCAACTTAAAGAAATTAGCAAAATGTAGTTCAAATTTAAAAAAATATCAAATGTTGATTTAAATATACTGTATTACTTTGTTGTGTTATTAATATATTGCTTTGTTTTATATTGCATTGAATCAAATATTAATTAATATGGAGAGTTAAAAAATGTTTTAATTGAAAAATGAGAAAAGGATTAAAATGGTCTCTCAATTTTTTTGAGGGATCAAAATAGTCTCTAACTTTTTTGAGGGATCAATATAGTCCCTCAACTCTTTAAAATTGGATTTTTGCTCCTAACATCTAACATTGGAGTTAATAATATAATATAAGGGTATTTTGGTCATTTTATTTAGATATTTATTAGATGTAAATTTCAAGTAATTATAATTTTCTAAAAAAATTATTAAATATTTTTTTAAAAAAAAATTAATAATAATTTTAGTCATATTTTATAAAATATGATTGATAAAAATGTGTGACTAAGTTGAAAATAATAACTATTTGTATTTGATTTTTCTAAATCAATAAATATCATATTTTATAAAATATGACTCAAATTTTTGAAATTAAAACTAAAATTATTATTTATTTTTTTATTAAAGAAAACGTTTGATAATTTTTTTTAAATTATATTTAATAAATGTTTAATTAAAAAATGATCAAAATACCCTTACATGTAACACCATTAACTTCAATATTGGATGTTAGGAACAAAATGATCTAATTTTAAAAAGTTGAGGGACCAAATAGTTGGGAACCATTTTGGTTTTTTTCTAAATGAAGAATGTTTAGAAGATGACAAAGAGTCTGAATTCAAGGATGATCTAATTATTACATACGAGGGCTATTATGAATATGAAAGTAAGAACAAGTCTGTCGTGGATTCTAATCTTTATGGAGTATTTAGGTTTTAAATGAGTGTTTACTTTGAATTTTATATCAAATTTTCATTACAGAATAGCATTTAATATTGAGATTTGTAGTTTATATCTTCATAATGACTATTTTAATTTTGTTATTTTTATGAATTATTTGTAAGTTCATTTGTTTTTTTTTTTTAATTTTCTTTATTTTGAGGCTTACGCCTCGGTCGTCTCGAGACTTATGCCTCATCTCGCTAAGGCAAAACGCCTCGATTTCCGATTTTGCCTTTTTAAACATTGTTTTCAACATTATGGATCTATCAACGCGCATCATTTTGCTCGATAAGCGATGCTCCAATGGTTTTGATTTTGATTGAAATGTTTCGGATTTGTTTAGCTCAACGCTAGATTCTTCCTTGGCCTTTGGCGTTGTTTTTTGCTGTGTTGAGTTGTGAGTTTGTATTGAGTCAACATAGCTGAAGTTTTCTCTTATCATCCTACTAATTTTCTTCATCATTATATCACATTGATTCGTTCTGTCTCTCTTTCATTTTGATCAATTTTTATTGAGGCAAAAAATGTTCCTATATTGCTAATATTTGACAAATGGATTTTCTGAGTAGCTTCTTTCTTTGTAGATTTAATCTACCCTTCCAAGTTATAGATTCTTTGTTGATTTTGACATGTGTTGCTACTGTATATATTTAGTTTGACCATCTTTCAAGTTTTCATCAGATTTATTCAATATTAAAATGCACAATATTTCATGACTTGTTATTGTTGATGTTTTTTGTTATCATTTTCGTAAGAAACATATCCAAATTTTAACGGGGATAACATACCTATTTTAGTTCGTTGTTTATTAAGTTTCCAATTGGTAAGACTTTTATAGAATGTTGAGAAGACAGGCATAGTTTCACTCTGTAGATTCAATTTGATCAATGTTAACTGTTCTGCAGATATTTCTTGATCTCCGGAAGCTTGTAGGAATATCTAAACCGACTGCTGTTGAAGGTTTGTCATGCACCATTTTGAGATCTGGCAGAGATTATAGGGCTGGCTGTCATCAGTTTGATTCTGAGGTACAGGCTGAACATCATAGCAAGCTCTGTGTTGCACTCAAAGTACTTCATGAATGCTTTGTGACTATAATCGAACCCCGTACACAGAGTGATATTGTTGCAGATATTCTTTTCAGTAAAGAGTACGTAATTTCTCTCATATCTAAAGCTCTTTTTTAATTAATGAAGCTTGTTTTTAGCTTTTCATGCTAGCTTAAATTGTTTTTGAGGGGATTTGGACTTCACCTTCACTTTGGAAGACAAATGGAAACACCACCTAAGTTTCGCATTAGTTCAGCTAATATAAAGTTTGTATATGGCATCAGTTATCGTGGGCATAATTTGGAAAAGAGCGTAATGCAATAAAATCTTGATTAAGGGACTACAAGAGAGAATTTCATTAGTCAAATTTGAATACATATGATTGTAGTAATTGTAGGTGGTGGTATGGTTTAGTCTTAGAATATAATTACCTATTTTAAGGCATCCTTGTGATAGGAAATACTTGAGTTCGCAAGTAATCATATCAGATCTACTTGTGTTTGCAAGCAAACCCAACCAAAATTCGGTAAAACAACGAGAAAAACGTAGAAAACGTCGTGGAAGAAGAATCACACAGTAGCAATGTCTTATAGAAAGCAAAATGAAGCAACATAAAGCAAGATACAAGAGATCCTCAATTCGAGAGGAGGATCGTCTCTCCCAAATTTCTAGGCAAGAGATGTCTGGAGCCCAACACCAAGAACCCTAATATCCAATCAATCAAAACACGTTTTCTCTAATCCCTCTCATCTTCTTTAATACAAGATCTTTCCTAATTTAATTTCCTTCCCAATCCGTAGTCGCTCCCTCCGTTTGAAAATTCAATTTGTTTGGAATAATGGGGCCCGCCCATTAGGCGAGCAAACAGAGGAGACGGACTCCTTCTGCCTCCTATAAACTAAATGAGCCGGCTGGACCGATTCCTTGTGAACCAGTCTAACAATACCGCCCTCTCAAACAATCACCTTGTCCTCAAGGTGAAAATCAAGAAACTGATGTTTCACTATCTCATAAGGTTCTCATGTGGCCTCGTAGTCAGGGAGGTTCTTCCATTTGATTAGCATTACCTTAGTCCCATCTTCTTTCTGGCGAACCCCCCAATAGCTCCAGGGGTTCCATGATCACCTCTAGATCCTCTGTAAGTGTCGTCGGTAACTCGGGGCTGGTTGTATAATCTCCAATGGTCTTTCTCAACTGTGATACATGAAAAATCGGGTGTATAGTCATTGTTGATGGTAATTTTAGCCGATATACAACTGCAACAATCTTCTCCAGCACTTCATAAGGCCCAAAGTACCTTGGAGCCAACTTCTCATTCCTCCTGTTGACGACTGTCTTTTGTCTATATGGTCGGAGCTTCAAGAACACCCTCTCCCTCACTTCAAACTGGATGTCCCTCCTATACCCATCAACTTGTTTCTTCATAATTTTTTGAGCCCTTAGCAGATGTCTTTTCAGCTCTTCTAACACTCTATCCCTCTCCTCCAAGTACTTCTCAACTGAGGAAACTAGGGTACTGCTACTCCCAAAGTGTATCAAGTGGGGAGGATCCCTTCCGTACAACACCTTGAATCGAGTCATCTGAGAAGCAGAGTGAAAGAGGTGTTGTACCAGTACTCGTCCCATGATAGCCACTTAGCCCAGAGCTTGGGTGTCTCCGATACGAAACATCTCATGTAAGTCTCCAAGCTCCTGTTCACTACTTCCTTTTGGCCATCCATCTGTGGGTGGTAAGCTGTACTCTTCTTCAGAACTGTCCCCTGCAGCCTAAACAACTCTCTCCAAAAATGGTTGAGGAATACCTTGTCTCTGTCTGATAAGATCGCCTCAGGTACTCCATGTAATCTGACCACCTCCCTGATCAAAGCTGAAGCCACTGTCACTACTGTGTAGGGGTGTTGAAGGGGAATGAAGTGTGCATACTTGCTCAACCTGTTCACCCCCACCAAAATCACCGTGAACTCATCTGAACGGGGCAACCCATCTATAAAGTCCATAGAGATCTCCTCCCACACTCTTCCAGGTAGAGCTAACTGCTGTAGTAATCCTCCTAGTGACATAGCCAGGCACTTATTCCTTTGGCAGATCTCACACCTGGCTACCATTTTGTTTACATCTTTACGCATCCCCTTCCAGTACAGTTCCACAACTAGCCTCTTGTATGTCTTCTATACGTCGAAATGGCCCCCCACAGCACTTTCATGAAACTCCTAGGGTAAGTTTGGGATATGGATCAAGGTCAGAGGCATCACAAATCTCCCATGATATAGCAGTTTGTCTCCCTCCAATGAGTACCCTGGGTGGCTCCCTTCTTCTTTTAGTAAATCTGACTTGATCTTCTCCAAACCTTCATCTCTAGCACGTTCCTCTCTGATGGCCTCCCTGTCAAGCATCAAAGGAACGAATAGTGCCACTGTCTGCAGCTCCCCCATACATCTGGACAAGGCATGTGACGCCTTGTTCTCCACCTTTGGTCTATACTAGGGGTGTAAGTGAGCCGAGCCGGCTCGAGCTCGACTCGTTTATAGGCTCGCGAGTTTAGGGGCTCGGGAGCCGAGCTTATCGTTTCGTAAACGAGCTCGAGTTTGAGCTTGAGCTGGCTCGGCTCTTGAGCTCGTGAGCCGGCTCGAAAATAATATTTTGAGCTAAATTTTTTAAAAAAAAAAATTTTTGATGTCAGTTTTTTTCTACCAAAACGGGCAGCTTTATATAAAAATTCAAAAAATTTCAAAAAGTCTTCTCTCAAATGTCTATTCCAACAAATGCTAATAAATGCTGACAGTTTTTTCCCTTTCAAATAATATAATAAGAGGCATAATAAATGCCGCAGCAGCTTTTTTTTTCTCCCAATGCAATAGCTATTTTTTATTTGGAATGCGGTAGCTGTATAATACCATTGGTAAAACTGGGCGGGAAAACAAAAGGCCGGGCGGGAAAGCAAAACGAGCGGCTCGACGAGCAGCTCGATGGCTCGTTACAGTATTGCTAGTCGAGCTCGAGCTCGACTCGAGTTCGAGCTCGATATTCGGCTCACGAGTTGAGCTCGAACACCCCTTGACTTGAGCTCGACTCGACTCGTTTACACCCCTAGTCTATACTGAATCTCAAAGTCATACCCCAACAACTTGGACAGCCACCTTTGATGCTCCTTTGTCACCATCTGTTTTTCCAGAAAGTATTTCAGGCTCTGCTGATCTGTCCTGACAATAAAATGCCTTCCTAGTAGGTAGGGTCGCCACTTCTGGATGGCCAAAAAGATGACCATCAATTATCTCTCATAAATTGACTTTAGCCTTGCTCTAACAGTTAATACCTTGTTGAAATAGGTAATGGGCCTATGACTCTGCATAAGCACTGCAGCTAGCCCATATCCGGACGCATCCATCTCCACAATGAAGGTCTGAGTGAAATCTGACAAAGCTAGGACCGGTACAAAAGTCATCACATTCTTCAAGCTCTCAAATGCTGTTGTGGCTGCCTCCCCCCATAGGAACCCGTCCTTCTTCAACTGCTCCGTGAGTGGCCATACTATGGTGTTGTATCCCTTTACGAACCTCATGTAGTAACTTGTTAGTCCTAGAAATCCCCTCAGCTCCTTCAGATTTTTCAGCACTGGACACTTTAGCATTGCCTCAATTCTGGACTGATCTGCTGCCACCCCTTCTTTTGATACCACATGGCCCAAATACTCTACACTGGCTTGTGCAAAGCAGCATTTCTTCAAATTAGCCCTCAGCTGGTGCTCCTGCAGTACTTCTAATACCATTTTCAAATGCTCCCAGTGCTCCTCCTCAGTCCTGCTGTAGACCTGGATGTCGTCAAAGAATACCAATACAAATCGTCTGAGATAAGGTTTGAAAATCTTATTCATAAGGGCCTGGAAAGTAGCGGGAGCATTGGTGAGGCCAAAAGACATCACCAGTAATTCATAATGTCCTTCATGAGTTCTAAAGGCTGACTTGGGTACATCCTCCTTCATCCGGATCTGATGGTAACCTGATTTCAAGTCTATCTTGCTGAAGATCACCGTCCCACTCAATTCATCTAATAGCTCATCAATGATTGGTATAGGAAACTTGTCTGGTACAGTTTCCTTGTTGAGTGCTCTGTAGTCCACACAAAAATTTCAGCTGCCGTCCTTTTTCAACAACAGAACTGGACTAGAGAAGGGACTGATGCTGGGTCTGATGATTTCTTCCTCTAGCATCTCTCTAATCAACCTTTCGATTTCATCCTTCTAGAAGTGAGGGTAGCGATAAGGTCGTACACTGATGGGCGACACTCCCTCCCTCAACATGATGGCGTGCTCCTGCTCTATCTGCGGTGGCAATCCTTGAGGTGGCTGAAACACCTCTTGGAACTATTGAATCAACGGTTGAATGGAGAGGGGTATGTCTCCTCCCTCCTCCAATCTCGCTTCCTCCAAACTGTGCAGCTACACCAAATACCCTCCGCCCGCCAACTGAAGGTCCCTCACCATCGTTTTAAGAGAAACCAAGAATTTGGAGGGCCCCGCATCTCCCTTAATCACCACCTTCTTTCCATCCACCATCAACTCCATCGTGAGTGCTCCCCAATTCACTTTGGTGTCTCCAAAAGTTTGCAACCATTTCATCCCAAGGATGACGTCTGTACTCCCAAGCTCTAGTAGAAGAAAATCTTCCCTCACCTGTATCCTCTGGATTGTTAGTCGCACTCCTCTGCAAATCCCCTGACCTTTCTCCACCTTCCTCATACCCATCATCACCCCGTAGCAGCTGGTATCCACCAATCTCATTTTCAATTGGTCGACGACCTGGGTGGAAATGAAATTGTGAGTAGCCCCACTATCTATGAGCACCACCACCTCCCTGTCATCTATCTCCCCCTTCAGCTTCATGGTATGATTCGTGGTGAATCCTACCAATGAGTTCAGGGAAATCTCAGCCAGATCCAAGTATAGCTTCTCCTCCATCTCCTCCTCTGTGTCCTCCTCACCTCATCAGTTTCCTCGTCATCGCAGATAGTGAGAACCCGAAGAGTTCGATCCTTGCACTGATGCCCTAGCGTGTATTTTCATCGCATATGAAGCACAACCCATTAGCCCTCTTCTCCTGCATCTCTTTCTCCGTCAGCTGCTTGAAATTTCCCCCGCTTCCTCCTCTTGTCTTATCCTTGGTGGCTTCTCGACTCCCTCCTGTTGCGAGACCCTTAGGTGCTAGGTGAGTTGTCGTCATCATCTTGTAAGTCCCCCTATGCTGTTACTCATTGCCCCCCTTCCAAATTCCTCTGATTCTCCACCAGTTGGACTAACTTCATGGCCTCTCCCAAGTTACGAGGCATCAAAACCTTCACTGCTGCTCAAATCTCCGCCTTCAACCCCTTTATGAAATTTTCTTCAATACTATATCTGAGAGTTGCTCCACTCTGCTGGTTAGGTGCTCAAATCGCTCCCGGTAGTCTTCTATTGATTCCCCCGTGTCAAAGCAAAGAACTGCTCATAGAAATTTCCTCCTCAGTCGGTTTGGAAGCGTTCTATTATGAAGTCTTTGAATTCCTTCCAGTTCCTGATAGGCCTCCTCTGGTCTCTCCACTGAAACCACAACAAGGCTTTTCCTTCCAAACACAATCCCACTACTGTCAGCTTGTCCTCCTCTGTCAGCCCATTGACGGCGAAGTATCGCTCGACCTTGTAAATCCACCAATACACATCTTCTCCTTCGAATATGGGCATCTTCAACTTCCTCACCTTCTGGTCGCCACCATTTCCCCTGTTTCTCCCATAATTTCCCCTCCCAAGTGCTAGGTCCACCCCATGTTTCTCGATCTTCCCTTGCTCTGCCATAGCCTAGACCCCCTTCGAAATCCCCCATTCTGTCTTCAAAATCACCACCTCGGCGACCATAGTATCCTTCCTGGCGTTCCACATATCCACCCCCTCTTTCTTCCCTCTGGACAGCCTCCAGATGAGGTCTTCTTCTTTCTCATTCCATGATTTCCATCTCATCTTCCTCCCTACGAATTTCTGAATTCGTACTTTTTCCTTCCCCTCCTTTTGCCACGAAAGCCGCCGTTTGGTTTTGAACTTCTAACATCTTCTTCATCATGTCCCGGAGATCAACGACTTGTCCTTCCATGGAGGAAATTCTTTCCTCCACCGCCGTTTTGATTTGATTCATCTCTCCTTCAAGCCTTTCCTCCAGAGCATCCACCTTTTTGGCCGCTATCACAATCCAGAGTTTGTAAAATCACAAAATCTGGATTTGGAACTCCAAAAACAGCAATCTCCCTTCCTTCCAGACAAAAATTCACCTCTGAAATTTACTGAAAACAACCCTCCACCGGTCTCACGACTTGCTCTGATACCAATTTGATAGCCAATACTTGAGTTCTCAAGTAATCCTATCAGATCTACTTGAGTTCGCAGGCAAACCTAACCAAAATTCGGTAAAACAGTGAGAAAAACGTAGAAAACGTCATGGAAGAACAATCACACGGTAGCAATGTCTTATAGAAAGCAAAATGAAGCAAACATAAAGCAAGATACAAGAGATCCTCAATTCGAGAGGAGGATCGTCTCTCCCAAATCTCTAGACAAGAGATGTCTAGAGCCCAACAGCAAGAACCCTAATTTCCAATCAATCAAAACACATTTTCCCTAATCCCTTTCATCCCCTTTAATACAATATATTTCCTAATTTAATTTCCCTCCCAATCCCTAGCCGCCCCCTCCGTTTGAAAAATCAATTTGTTTGGAATAATGGGGCCCGCCCATTGGGCGGACAAACAGAGGCGGACCGGTTCACAAGACAGAGGCGGACCGGTTCCTTGTGAACCGGTCTAACACCTTGTTTTTCTAATGATATGTATATCAAATTTAGTCAAATATCACTGTGTAAGACATGCATAATATATATGAAGGTAGTAGTTCTAAGGCCTGCTCATGAAAATGCGATTATTTGTTTTATCAGCAGCTGCACTGACATAAGCAGCAACGCGTTTTCAAACGCTCGTTTTCATTCAGTGACTATTGTAAGAAATTCTTGAAAAACAACTAGTGTAAGAAATTGTGGAGGGGAAAAGATGGAGGAACTCCATATTCATAAAGTTGAATATATAGAGAGTACTCAATTGGCCTCATAGTTTATATTTATTCAATCATCAATAGTCAATCATACAAGCTATCATTCTCTATTTATATAAATAGGGTTAGAAAAATAAGATCTTTAAGAGGATTATTAAAACTAATAAGATAAATGAGATAAAAAAACAGAGATTCAACAAAAAAATAATGATGGGCCTAAAAACGCATGAAAACATATTCAGCCTAGCTCTTTTATAACTCGATTTGATTCCTTTTGTTTGGCCTATGAAAATTTAGGTCTTCTTAGGCTAAACAAACTGAACTATACTATATCAAAAATTTGATGTATTTACCTTAACATTGTAACTCTATCAAACGCATTACTGCCTTAGAAAAACCACTCAATCTAACCCATCTGCACTTAAATCAACTAAACCATATCTGGTTGGGTTAGAATTTGTTTCTAACCAAACCAAACCCATTCAATTTGTGACACGTACACTTTGCACATAACATTCTCTCTCTCTCTCTCTCTCTCTCTCTCTCTCTCTCTCTCTCTCTCTCTCTCTTCTCTCTCTCTCTCTCTCTCTTCTTTATTTTTAGCACATAACATTCTCAATCTTCATTAAGAAACAAGAAATATTATTATTTCTATACGAATATTACCAGCATGCTTTGTGGTTTGATCATATATTTAGCTTTGCTGACATCTGTCCTTTATGTTGATTCCAGCATCTTGCTATGCCTTGGCTCACCATCCTATCAACCATGATATACTCTGACTCGAGTTAGATGACAGGCATCACTTATGATCTCTAAACAGTTGGAATTCTGTGCTAGCTTCCCTTTTTTAATAAACATTCTTTAATGTTTCAAAGCATGTAAAAAATAACAATACTTCTGATCAGAATCATCAAACTTCTGTAGGATTTTTAGATTTGACCTGATGTTTGAAGCCTTTGCTCATTTAGCTTTCAGTTATATCCCTTCTTTTTTTATTTTTAGCAAATTATATTGACATTTATTTGGAGGCTAATCAAGATGTTTTGGAAAGCCGGGCTTTATTTTCATGCTGTTGTCTCCATCTTTTCTATTATTATGTTCTTGTTCGTTCCACTTCAGTTTTAGGTTCCTGCTGGCAATTAGAATTTCTACTTGAATTTTGACTACTTTATGATGGTTTTAGTTTGCTGATATGGTTATCCTTTTTATGGTCTTGATTGTCTTACAGGTCAGAACTAAAACGATTGAACTTTTATGGATTTTATGCTATGCTTTTAGAGAAGGGAGATGAGCTGATATCTGTGGCCACATTCAGGTTTTGTTTGGTTTATTGGATTAATTTTCTTAGTTGTAGGGCCTAATACCTTTTTAAACTTATGTTTGTCTTTATTGCTGAGCTATTTATCCATGCGTGCAATTCTGTTACTTAGGATCTATGGTGGAAAGGTAGCTGAAATGCCACTTGTTGGCACTCGTATTAAATATCGTCGACAAGGAATGTGCCGTCTTCTATTAGGTGAAATTGAGAAGGTTTGTTTTAGCCCTGCTTTATGAATTTTGCTCATAGTTGAGAAACAAGTGCATTGAGAAAATTTAACCAAGCGCATCAATTTATACAAAGTGAGGATTAGAAAAATTCTTTCCAAAATTGCTATTAGTTACCTTTGTTGTTCTTTTTTAGACATCTTTATAGGGTTGTTGCTGTCAAGTAGAGAGCTTTATGTTATTTTCCTTTTGGTTCTGCTCTATAAACTGGGTCTCCTCACATCTAAACCCCTCCTGGACAGGCCAATTTTTTACTGCAGCCGTTCAAAGATTCTCTCAAAGTGTTTATTAATCTCTTATTCTCCCTCACATTTTGACGCTACGTTAAAGTACATATGTTGAATAAATTATTGCCAAACTATAATTTTCTTTGTTCGAATGTATGAATAGTGTACTTTCAATTCCTTCACAAGAGCCGCATTTTGGGTGGAGGTAAGTGAATGCTGAACCCCAAAACTTTGCGTTGATTAGCTTTGGGGTGTTTTGGAAAGTCTATGAGAGCCTCTTTGTAAAGACTAACATTGCTTTATCTTAAAGTTTCTTAAATGGTAGAACACATAGAAGGGGCATCCCTGCAAGAAATGTAGCAGATGCTATGAAACTCTCATGAAACACACCTAATTTTGTCGGGTTACATAATCCACATGTGATAACGGTCTTTGGACACTAATGCTAATATTGCAAGGATCTTTTTCAGCTATCAGACTTTCAAATTTAAAAAAGAATACTTGGATGGAAAATGTAATTTCAAATTTTGTAGTACAGTGGGAATTATTTGGACAAATGGAATGCTAGGATATATTGGAGGGAATTGATTTTATGCATGCGCAAGTGCATTAATTTCTAATTTTCAATGATGAACATCATAATCATCAAAGTTATCATTTATATTTATCTTAATTTCAGAGTTGTTTTATTCATTTATGTATCATATAGAATGTTGTATGTAATTCTTAGACTTTTTTTAATGTTCTGGGTGTGCTTTACAGATACTAAATGATGTTTTCATTCATTAAATGACTGATGCATCTGCAATTTGTGAGATCTCAGCTGTTAAACTGCTAACCCTAACCCCACCCCTCTTTATGATCCAGCTACTTGTTTCAGTTGGAGTGGAAAGATTTCTACTACCGGCGGTGCCTCAGCTTCTTGAAACATGGACTTCTTCATTTGGATTTGATAAAATGAGCAACACTGATAGGTTGAATCTTTTGGACTACTCTGTTCTGAATTTTGAGGACACTACAATGTGCCAAAAAGTCTTGAGGGTAGCGCCAATGGCTGACTCTAAACCAATAGGTATTCATGTCAAAATACAAGCCTTTCTATTTTAGTTCTTTTTTTTTCATTTTTTCCATCAATACTTGGCAAGCTTTATTTTTTTGCGTTCATGTTCCATCTTCACTGGTGCAAATCATTTTGAATTACCTCTATTTTAAGTCAAATATTAACAAGAAAATTTATTACCAACTAGTAAGCAATAGTGCAGGCACACGTGATGTGATAGGCAGTGCACAATAATAATTCATCGTTCAACAACCTTCTTAATTGGCTCGAAAGGATTAGAGCACGTGCATGTTGTGCTCTACAAAACAATGATGTAGTTCGCATTTACTGTTTTGACTATGCGTCACGGTGTAGCCTTGTTTCTTTATGGAGAGATTCACTACATTATACCTCCACACACCACTTAAAGTTCTTGCTTTTGTGATTTCAGCAATACTGGTTTAAGCAGACGTAGGCTTCTGATTTATTTTTGTCTTGAGCAGCCAACAACCTACTTTGACACCAATTTGAAAGGAATAGACATTGGACATATTTTTTAAACTATCACGACTTCCATAAAATTTGAAATACAATAAAATAAAAAAGAGTGATTTAGCTCTGCTTTAGGGGATGTTTGGTTTGAGGTAAAGGGAGTGCAAAGTAAATCAAATTCATGGTGTTTAACTTTTTAGTCTTCTGGTTTGTCACAAAGTAAAGTAAATCCGAATATATTCGAAACTCTCCGTTGTAGCTTATTTTACACGTAAAGTAAAACCGTGCAAATTCAAGCAAAAAAGGATTTCACACGGGCGAGAGAGAAGCCTGCAGGAGCCCATCGTCGTTTCTTCCTCCATTGTCATTTTGAAAACTTTTCATCTTCTCTATTTCGTCATGCCTGCAAATTTGCATTTGTTCAATCTGACTCTTTAGCAAGAGATAGTGTTTTCTACTTACAGAATCTCATAGTACCCATCTTCTTCAAAGTTAAGTCCATTATTACGAAAAAGTGCTTATACTTTCAGTTGGCATTCACAAACTTCGAATTAGATGGTAAATAATATACTTGAATGACCCGAGTAAATTTAGAAAAGCTTACCCCTTAACTAGTAAGATTACTTGGATTTCTACTCTATAGAGCAAAGTTAAAATGAGCCCAAGGGAGTTGATATAGCACATCAATTAGATTAAAAAAATGAAATTAAAAGTTCAATTACAAAGTACAAACAAGAGCCTAAGAAGGTGCTAAAGCAAAAGCTCAATCAAGAAAAAATAATTAAGTTAGAGTTTTAATATTTAAATTTTAAATTTAACATCTAGAAGGTTTGGCATTTCATCTTAAGGGACATGTATGGGTCAACAATTTAATGGAGATAAGAAAAATAATGATGGTGGTTGGCCACCTATATCCTTTTTCCCAAAAAAAATTCTCTTAATTTTGAATTATGGAAGTCAATTTAACATATAAATGGTGCTCTATTATGTAAAAGAAATTTCAGCATTTAAATAATAAGAAAATTTTGGAAGAAAATATTATATTTTTCTTAATGCTTGGTAGCCTACTTTGATGGGATTGATTAGTTTTTATGTTTATTGTTACTCTTCTGAATAATTTTTTTAAATAGTGTTGGGGGTATTAGATAGCCCAAAAGGCATCATCATCCACTCATATAATGCATCTCATGTTTTGTAAGCCATCTTCCCTTCATCCCCTGACTTTATTTCAATTTGGTGATATTCACTTTGTAAATTGATTTTGAAACAAAAAAGACACCCCATTTAATTGATCAAATAAATCATCTAATCAAGGGATTAGAAATTTGTATTTTATTGTGATCTCATTAACAGCTCAACTATCCATACATATATGACATGTGTCATCTTTCTTTCAAACTAATAAAGCAGGAGCTGCGTAATTTTTCATACAATTGTTCTAATCCAATAGGTTGGCCGATGAGGAATAACGACCCCAATTAAAAAGTCAAATCATATGGTGGACATCAGGAGGTAGTTCTAGGGGTAATTATGTGGGGAACACATCCTACAAATTATTATAACAAAGTTTGAACTACTTTTAGGATAGGTTCTTTTTCTTTATTTCCTTCCATAATGGTAAGGACATAAATAGAATGAGCTTCTTGCATTGCTTTTAGGAACCATAGATCTAGAAGTTATGATATCAATTCCTGTCTTCTCTTTAGTGCCATCTGTCATTGTCATTAAAAACCATCTTTTCCTTTCTTACTCTATTGTACAAGTGTTTAAAAAAAACGAAATAAAAGAGATTCTCAATCATGAATTTCATGCGTTGCTAATCTAGTTTGTAAATTTTGAATTTCATGGCATAATTCCTCCATAGCTAATTCTTAATTTTGGTGGGGCTGATTTCTCTTAGGCAGCGACGACATCCTACCAAAAATTAACACCAAACTAAAAGGAATTGGCAAGTTTGGGCATATTTCTTTAACTATCACCACTTCCACAATATTTGAAATGCAACAAAATAAAGAACAATGCAGCCCAGCTATAATGTAGTCACCAACAAATCTAGATTTCATTAAAAATATTAATTAAAACACAAAGTAGACTCTTAACAAGGCACCGACTCACTAATGCGTGCAAGAAACAAAAGAAAACCCAACAATATTCTCATAAATCAGCTGGTCAGAAATCAAAGGATCATCAACCCATGCTACAGTCGCCGAAACATGTATTTTAGATTTTTACAATAGTGAGCTTTTCCTTTGACTAAAAGGTGCACCGTTTGACCCTAGAATGTTTTCTTGTTTTCAAGAATCCTTCACGTGCAAGAAATACCAAGGGCACAAGTAGATGGTTGTATTAAAGGAAAGGAAATTGCTGTAGGTATGATTCTGAGAAAGCTAGTGGCTCTCCCCTGTTAGCTGGTAGGCTGGGGAGCTCGATAACGTCACTTTTGACTGTGGGGTCCAAGATATTGCCTCTGCGGGTCTTTTCTATACTTGGTTCAATCAATAGATAGACCAACCCATCCATATAAAGCTTGACAGGGTCCTTGTCAATACGGGTTTACTTGATGCCCTTCCCCAAGCTTTTTACAAAGTCGTTACTGCAGTGTGTTCTGACCACTCACCTTTGGTTTTTCATGCTTCCTCCCCCAGCAACATCCTATGCTGCTTCCTCTTCAAGAACTATTGGGTTCATATGAATGGGTTCTGGGAGGTCCAAACTTCCTTTTCGTGGCCTGCTCCTTGCACCCCTGTTACCTCCTTCTATAGCTGTCTCCAAAGTCTCAAAAGGAAGCTGAAAGGTAATGCCTGGGCATCACCAAATTTTCTTGCTACTTCCATCTTGGAATTAAAAAAATAAGCATCATCTTTGTCTCTCTGAACTTCAAAATTCACCTTTGGATCTTCATTTAAACCACAACTTGAAGCTTATCAAGGATCAATTGGATGTTATGGAAGCCTCCTGGGTCTCTTAGATTTCTCAAAGAGCAAAAGCTTATTGACTCACCAAGGAGGAAGATGACTTTGGTTTCCTATATGCCAAAATCCATGCTAGGAATAACAAGAACTACTGAAGGGAAATCTCTACCCCTTGGGTCATTTCACTTCTCACCATGACATTGTTGCCGGCATTATTCAACATTTCAAGGTCCTTTACAACTCTCCTAAGCCTCCCAATGCAACTAACTTTTGGCTCCTTTCTCTAATGAGGAAATCAAGGCTGATGTCTTTGATGACCAAAGAAACTCAGCTCCTGGCCCATATGGTTTCACCTTTGCTTTTTATAAGCTCACATGGCACATTATTGGTACAGGTTTGTAATGTTGTAAGGAGTTTTTACGGTATCGGTTACTTGCTTAAAGGTGTGAAAGCTTTTTCCATCACCTTGATCCCTAAGGGCTCTCATGCCACAAATATTTCTGACTTCAGACCCATCTCCCTCTGCAATGTGTTCTATAAAATTGTGGCTAAGCTCCTTGCCAGCAGGCTTAAATTGGTTTTGCCTTATATTATTCACGATAGTCAAGCTAACTTCATCAAGGGCAGATGTTCTACTGATAACATCTTATTGACTTCTAAGGTGATGATGGACTTTTCTTCCTCACATAACTTTTTTTGTGCTAAACTTAATATTATGAAAGATTTTGGTTCGGTGTCTCATTACTTTCTGCTTTGCAGGATGCGGCAAAAAGGTTTTCCTGACAAGTTTATTAATTGGGATAAGGGCTGCATTTTAATGTTTATTTTTCAATTGCTTAAACGGCTCCCTTGAGGGCTTCTTCAACTCCTCTTCCAGGCTTCGCCAAGGGTGCCCCTTATCACCTCTTATTTTCTGCATTGTGATTGATGGACTCTCTTGCTGCCTATTTCCTAACCCTTCTCCTCCTATTCCAGGCATTAATCGTTTTGGGGTTAATCTTAATCATTTGTTGTATGCAAATGATCTACTTGTGTTTGGTGTTGTCACTCCCTCTATTGCTACTGCCTTAAAAGGATGCTTTATCCCTGTTTGTTGGAGCATCTGACCTTTTCATTTATCCCAACAAAAGCTCTATTTTGTTCTCCAAAAATGCCACCTCCACTGAGGCAATTTGTGATATTTAATGTGGACTCCTACCTTAAATGATCTTGGGATCTTTAATGTGGACTCCTACCTTAAATACCTGGGGCTTCCCATCTCCCCTTCTAGACAGAATTATACTCACTTCCAACCACTACTGAGTAAAATCTTTACTCTACTTGATGGTTGGAAAATCAAATTTCTTTCTTTTGCAAGTAGGGTCCAATCCATCAAGTTCACCATTGCTAACACAATTGCCTACTGGATAAGGGGCTCCATCATACCCATGACATGTCATAAAATCATCTCCAAATTATGCTCTAGGTTTTTATATCATGGCTGCATTAGTAAGAGGAAACTTCATGTGATTGCTTGGAATGATACATCCCTTCCAAAGCAGTTGGGAGGCTTAGGAATTCCCTCTATTGAGGCTCTATATCATGCCACTATCTGCTCCATCTGGCGTATCTACAATAATAAATCCAATG